AAAAGTAGTATTGACTTACTAAACCCTTGACCCTGCATTCAGGGTCATATCTGGTCTCCCAACATACACAGAACATGGAAATGCAATTATTTTGGTAAATATAAACTGCTAAAAACCTTTTCTCATCAGTTGTATATAGCAGTCTTATGACTAATATCTGTGTCCGGCTGAGCACTGGTTAAAGCTTGTAGGAGGATTTTTCATTCTCCTCTGTGCTATAAGGCTGCATAACCCCTGACCCCCTGTCTGGACAGGGCTGATTGGCCCTGTGCTGATCACATGCACCCTCCCCCTCCAAAAAAAAAAACTCTCTAGCAATACACACCTAACTGTGCATGTGTGTAGTGCCTCCTAGGGCTCTGTACTGTCAGCAGATGGATTGGGGACTGTAGGTGAAGGGGAGGATTGGAGAAGGCAGGATCAAACAGCCTTTTTAACACACAATGCAGAGGATTAACCCCTTAGGTTCCACAGTGAGTATAACAAGCATACCTTACTGCATATACAGACTGATTCTACTGTTGTGGGATTAGTAACACTTTAATAACTGTACTGTATAGTCTGTGCAGAAACAGAGCTGTGGGAGGACCCAGCAAACTTCACCTACTACATATTGTCTGCAGAAAAGTACAGGAGGGGTGGAGACAAGACCAGTCATCCAGTTGAAGGAGAGAACAGCATTGTCTGGTCTTTATTACAGGACGCTGCTGCACAGAGACAGTTTCACTATGGTTTACTGTACAGATCTGGAAGAAATACACAAAACACACCGAGATTTAAGTAACACATGATGCTTGTATTTACACAATATTTGCTTGTCCTGGAGTTCAGCTTAAAAAAAAAAAATCTATAAACCCAATGTTTCATATTCCTGATTTTTGCCTGCTGTACCATGTACTCGTGAAAAAGTGCTGTACACTAGGAACGAGAGCACTCAGTGGTCAGTTTTCTAGCTGTGCTGGAAACGGTCTACTCTCCTCCAATAATTAGACCTCTGCTCATGCGCACCCCCCCCCCCCCCCCCCCCCCGCACACCCACTGGGAAGACCAGTGTGCTGCTGTTTCTCCACCCTCACCTCTCTTTGCAGCTGAGAACAGAGGAAATGTGATAACTTCTAAAAAAAAAAAACGGGTGTGGGAAAAAGGTTTTATGTTTATATCTATACACAAATAACTGTATGGCCTGTATTATTACAAGGTGAGGGTTTACATATACTTTTAAGTCCTTGTCACTTTCTTGCAGAAGTTAAATTTCAATTAGTTGTCTTATTTAAACATTATGTTGCCAAACAATACTCTATATTAGTGTCTTTTAGATGTAAAATATCTAATAGCTGCCCTTAGCAAAATAGTCAAGTGCTTGTCTGCAGCATGAAACGCTGCCCTTAGGGTCCATAAAATGCTTACACCCCGCACACACAAGCCAAAATCAGCCGATTCTTGGGTCGTGTGTACAGCTGCTTGTCTGAAAGAAGCTGATCTCACAACCTGCTTCAGTCGAACGTGCATGTTTGAAAACCTACAGCCGACCGGCATCCGATCAGTGCTTGCAGCCAATGGCTACGAGCGCTGACCGGTGTGTTCTGGCGAGGGACGGTCCCCCTGTCAGAACACAATAGCAGAGCAGGTGAGATTGCTGTACTAACATTTGTTTTTGTTAGTACAGACATCTGTTAGTTTTTGTTTTTTTTTTTTTTTTGTTTTTTTTGTTCAGCCCACTGGACTGAATGAAAAAAAAAAAGCTTTCACTGTATACCAGGCTTAAGGGCAGACAATGTGAGGCTGCCTTCTGCTCCCAGTCAAGCTGTATTCAGAGGCGGGCAGCTAAGATGATGTGCAAAAGCACACATACTAATAAAAAAACAGATGACCAAATCCATGTTTTATCCATTCAATCCAAAAAATTCTAAAGGGTAAAATTTTTGCTGATCTGATTGGATGACATCACTGTTTAACCATTTTCTAGCTGATTCTTTTTGTGTTTTTTTTTCAATCCGTTTCTTCAGCCAAGTGGTGCCAACAGGACCACCCATGGCTGGAATTTTTGACCAATTAAGCAGTAATGGGTCTAAGTTCAAACCGTGCATGGCCAGCTTAACCTGTGACCTCCACTGCATGCTGTGGCGCCATTCTTTGGCACTACATGACACGGTAGTTACGTAGTAGTCAGAGGGAGAAACCGCATGCAGTGGTAAACCAAGCAACCCAAACACTCGGAAGTGTGTCTGATGCTGAAGAGCCTTCTCTGGCTTTACATCTTGAGCAAAGTGATGATCCATGTCAGCACCCTCCATGAAGATAAGTCTTGTTTGCGAGAGTGTCCAAAGAAATTCAAGTCTTCAGAGTCCGCTTAAAAACAACCTTTACCAGTTTAAGTATGTTCTATACAGATTATAATGGGAATTCTGACAGTCACTTTTATATGAATATGTGCTTTGACTATGCAGGGCAAGTAAAAGGTTTACTTATCTGCAGCCATCCCATTTGTTTATACTAAATCTGGCTATTCACCCATAAATTCTTTTGGCTGAGCAATATAAATCTCAATGTGATTGTAAAGGCTATTTTTTATCTTTAAAATAACACAGGCTTATACTTGCCTGCTTGGTGCACAGAGCATCCCCGAACCTCCTATTGTGGGGTCACCCACTGGCATCCTGACCCCTCCTCTTCTCGGTGTGTGCCACCATAGGAAGCCACTTCCTATTGTGGCTCACCCATGAGCTTGATCCTGAGCCACGCTGCCTGCTTCCATAGAAACAGACAGTGTGGCTCAGCCCCATTTCCCCCACTCTCTCCTCATAGGCCGTGATTAACAGCATCAGAAGCCAATGGTCGCCACTGCTGTCTCTGAGCCAATGAGTAGAGAGAGGAAGCTGCTCTCAGGTACTGTGCTGGATTGATATTGGGCTCAGGTACGTAGAAGATAAGTGTCTGCAAATGTTTAGGGATATCTGCCATCAGTTTGTTTAGGATGGCTGTGCAGGCACATTTAGGAACGTTGAAATTTGTAATGGTGCAGGTCAAGGTATATACTCCTGTCTAGAACTATGTTATTTTGGGACAAGGCTGCCATATGTGGAACATCATTCCCAGTTTTCTGCAGCCTCAAAAGCATCAGAGTAGATCTAGGCGATCCTAGCCAAAGCTAGGCACTTAAAGACTTTATAATTGGCTTTTATGAAGGTTGTGCTAGGTGTCCCTTTTTATGAATACTTATGATTTAGGTGTCTTCACTTTTTGATCCAGTGTTCCTGATTGATTTCCTCCATCAGTTCACCAAACCAAATTATGAGGCAGCTTGAAGTGTTTGTAACCTTAAAAATAAAAATGCATTTATTTGTCTCTTTTTAAGGTATTTATTTCTGCTATGTTATATTAATAATGTATTTGTGCTTTCCATGCTTCTATATTACCTGGTTGATCCTGCCAGTTCTCCTCTCCCTGTTAGTAAACTGACCACGCAAAGCATGGTAGTGTTGTCAGTTTGCTTCTCCTGCCATCCTGTTCTTAAATAGAGGCAGGCTGTGTAAGCACACAGCCTGCCTGTATAATTTGTGGCTGGTTTAAAGCCACACTCTCGCCCATTCCTCCTCCCTTTATTGATGGCGGCCTCCCCAGCCTCACTGTGAGGCTGCAGTGGCTCCCAGACATATGATCTGCTTTGATGTGGATATAGCCACCTGCAAGTCCATGAATTGCTGTTGAAGGAAATTTGATAACATAACATGCACTTTTGAAGCTGAAAAAAAAAAATATATAGGCAGGTTTTTTTTCTTTTACAAATAGCTTTATTGAATATTAAGCAAAGATAAACAGACATTCGGAGCATAAATTCAGTGACCGACAATTATGAATCATATTAAATAACAAGGAGCTTGTTCAAGGCATGCATCAATAAAGGCATAAGCTGAAGAGTTTACATAGAAGCCCTGTAGGAAAGGATGGGGGAAGGGGTTATAAGGGAATGAATAACAAACCTTTGTGGGTCAATGATAATGTAAACTCCAAAGAGAGTTTTAGCTACATCAACATTATAGAAAACAGGAGAGGCACGAGAAGAGGCCTCTCCAAAAAATTGTTCATGTTCATAACCTAGAGTGTGCATAAAAAAAATCTAAATTGCGTAAATAGTATTGCGGATGTAGCGCAGAAAACAACAAGCACAATCCGTGAAATATGTTTAAGGAAAGATTGAACAGCAGGATAGGAAAAGACATACAGTAGAGAGACACGGACATCACAAACAACAAAAAAAAAAAAAAAAAAAAGGGGGGAAGTTGGGGCTCCAAGGGGATCACAGCAAAATCCAACAGGCAGGTTTTTTTTTCATAGACAAATGGAATAAGGAAATGTACGTTTTAAATAGTTTAACATGTACATTTCCTTATTCCATATGTCTAAGAAAAAAAATGATACAGGATTACTAAACTTCATAACTACTTTGATGGAAGAGGTGAACAACTAATATAATTGCCACCTCCTGATTCTTGTTCCGCTAACAACTGTTTTCATAAATGGTGTACTGTATTATCTACGGTCTGGTTTGTTTTTTGGATTTTTTTTAACATTGTATAGAAAATGTAGAATTTGGTGCATGTGAAACATCTCAATGGGGGTAGGGGGCACTTTTACTGTCTGAAATAAATAATCAGGGGTTTGTACACCCCTGCTATCTGAGAATTGTCCTATAGGATATAAACCTTTGTCTAACCACCAATTAAATCAATTGGAGTCTTGGGCTGGCAAAAAAGGCCGGGTTATCTGAAATGTATTTTGTTTATTTTTTTGCTTTTAAAGTGAACATTTAGACAGGCTTTCAACACCAGAGCATTTACTTACTTTCTGCAAGGAGTAAATACACATTGAAACATACCCCCACTGCAGCTGCAGGCACTGTGGAACAATTAATCTTCAGAGTTCACAGTAAAAGCACTTACACTCAAGTTAAAGAGTCAGACTTGGGCAAACGTAAACTTGCATCCTTCCCTAACATAATTGTGACTTACTTAATGATAAAGAACACTGCTTTTGCCATTTATGTGACTGAAACTAATAATTTTATATATGCCATGTTAATCAGTGATCTTTTTTTTTCTGTTTTGCAGGTTGGCCCCAATGCGATTATACACACTCTCAAAACGCTATTTTGTGTTGGTTTTTGTGGTATTCTTCATCTGTTTTGGATTAACACTTTTTATTGGCATTGCTGGTATGTGTTCATTTGTTTTAATACTACAACTTCCATGGAGACATAAAAGTTTTGATTTTATTAATTGCTTCGGACTTTTGCTGTCTCTACTGCATTTTTCTGTAGTTGGGAATAATATGTACAGTTGTGCTCAAAAGTTTGCATACCCTGGCAGAAATTGTGAAATTTTGCCATTGATATTGAAAATATGACTGATCATGCCAAAAAATGCTCTTTTATTGAAGGATGATGATCATATGAAGCCATTTATTATCAAATAGTTGTTTGGCTCCTTTTTTAAATCATAATAACAGAAATCACCCAAATGGCCATGATCAAAAGTTTACATACCCTGGAATGGTAGGCCTTGGTACAGACACAGAAGGTGACACACACGGGCTAAAATGCCAATTAGAGGTTAATGTTCCACATCTGTGGCTTTTTAAATTGCAATTAGTGTCAGTATATAAATAGTCAATGAGTTTGTTAGCTCTTACATGGAAGCACTGTCTAGACTAGATACTGAGCCATGGGGATCAGAAAAGAGTTGTCAAAAGTCCTGCGTAACAAGGTAATGGAACTTTATAAAGTTGGAAAAGGACATAAAAAGATGTCCAATGCCTTGAATATGCCAATCAGTACTGTTAAATCAAACAGAAAAAGGTATATAGTGAGCGCTTAATCCATAAGTAGCTATGCACTCAAAGCAACCAATATATGCAATAAATCGAATGATAAAAATAGTGCAGAGCTAAAAAAAAGTTATATAAGATCAAATAAAATCCAGAAAAGCGTCCATAAAGTCTGTGAGTTGTGACTGGTGAATCTACTGGATAATGGTGGTGCTCCGTGGGAAATGATAAAAATGCGCTCACCAGAAATAACATGAATATGAGCGTTGTATACAATTCCTCATCAGAGGTCTGGTCACCTTGGGCAATCCTCCCTTCTGTGTGATGACAACACTCAGTAAAGATGAATAAGATCCAGGTAACCAGAGGTTTCCTCAAGGGGGCTGGCTGGAAGGAACTGCCTGTTTACAGGGAATCTTCTACCTCTTGGTATAGTGCCTGGATCCTGGTACAGGGTTTCTGAAAATAAGTACTCCTCTTCCTCGCCGTGCACAATATCTGTGAGCAGTAATCCAATAACGAGGGGAAGGCTCAGCGATCTCCACAGCCCCATTTCCTTCTACAGAACCCCAGTCGAGCACTGCAGAAGGTGCTGCCAGACATTCACACAAATACACCCGTAAACGCGCCCCCTCTCCAAGTCTTCCTGTGGAGTTGGGCAACGGCAAGGGATGTTGCAGATCGTGGACAAGCTTTGAGCTTTGCCTCCTCACAACACACGGTTTATCCATTTATTGCTCATTGTTTTCACTACCAATCTTGTATTTAGGACGCTGTACGGCAGAATAGGGGGCATAGTGGCGTGTAGCTGAACAGTGATTTGTCCACGATCTGCAACATCCCTTGCCATTGCCCAACTCCACAGGAAGATTTACATCCAAAAACTAAAATTTAATTTTATTGCGGTTTATGAATCTTAAGATGTGGTGACTGTAAATATTTTCACTATTTCAGGCTAATAACATTTTCAGCAAGCGCAAAAAAATAAGTTTTCTCCTTGCAAGAACTTCGGTCGCTTCCTAAAAGAAAACACAGAGAACCTTTTCATTATGTAAAATGTTAGTCCCATCAATACAATATGTAATGAAAATGAACGAAGGTAGAAATGTTCAAAGTCCAGTCTGTGTGACAGCCATGACTGCCCTCACACATACAGTGAAGAAATTGAACACAAGGGGACAGGAAATATAGTATTTTCAAGACTACCAGTTAGAAAAAAAAAATGAATGCAGTGCCTACTGTTTTGGATTTAAATACCAGCAAGAATCCTCTGACTTTAGTAGCTGCCCTTAGATCCCCTAGGCTGCAACCTAGTCCATGGGCAGTAGCCTAACTCGAAATAATAATAAAAATGTGAAAAATATGCAAATCACAAATAGCGCAAACCAAATCACACAACTAAATAGAACCACCACCAAATAAGTGCATATTAATAGTGCAAACAAAAAATCAATAAATAGGGAATCTCAATATAGTCCATTCAGAAAAGTCCATATAAACATTATCCTCAGTAAATGAAGTAATAAGATCTTCCTTCATAAGCAATGTGGTATTCAGTGCTCAAAAACACCCCATCAAAATGCACACTCACCATGTGCTAGTAATTAACCAGCATGTCAGTATATAACTCGCTCTCTGTGACTCATCGCCACTAAACTTTTGTGGTTCTGGGTTTAGAGATTGGCAACTTTAGTTGATGGCTTTTGGAAAAGTCTTTGGCTTCAGGGCAGACTAAAAGAAGATCGGAACAGAAGCCCTTGTGCCACAGATAGGCATATGGATTTGTAGCAAGTCAAATCCTGTTACTGGACATAGCTTTTCTGACAAACCTTGCATTAAAAAGCTCAAATTAATAGCAATTCCAATGGCTTATTTATTGTGGAATTTTAATTATACCTGTATCTTTCCCTTAGCCTACATTTAAAAAAGATCGATGTGCAATGCGACCAGGCTCTAGCACTTTTTTCCCACTAAAAACCTAATCTAGATTTGTTTTGATGAATAGGCGTATTAAATAATAAAGAAGGCACAAAATGCAGTATTCATGGCAACCCATCAGAGTTCATTTTATATTGGTTGTTTTTAGCCAATTGTATCATTATTGGTTACTGTACTTTCTGCTTTACTCCTTGAACAGCTAATTGATTTAATATAAACCCAAGAATGCAAATTTATTTTATTGTAGTTTACAAGTACTGAAATGTGGTGGCTTCAATTGTTCATATTGTTTAGGCTAGGAATATTTTCAGCAAATGCAGAAAATTTTTCTCTTGCTAAAAATGCGGTCTTCTTGTCACTTCCTGTGAACTGAACTGAAAGCGCAAACTATTTTATCTTCTTCTGTAAACTACTAATCCCTGATTCATTGAGATGAAGAGAGGAAAACCTGTTTATAGTACAGCCTGGGTAACAACCATAGGCTGCCTCCATAGATACAGTGAAGTGGGTGAGCATTGCCACCCAGGGACAGGAAATGTGTAATTTACAAGATTACTTGGTGACAGTAAAGGGGGGGAAAAATGTGATTGGTGATGACTCAAGTAAAGATGGAGGATATTGCCAAACGCAGGCTTTAAAAGCAGACTTACCCCGGAAGAGATGTCAGAAATATGGCAGCAATGGATTACAAAGAGATCAGATTAAGATAGGGAGGACTTTCTCAGTTGAGCACAGATAAAGTTTCCTGGATAGCATTAATTTGTTAGCTCTTTAATATATCACTGGTTTGCAGCAGGGCTTCACAAATCCCAGGCTCCAGGTCACCATGGCAACTAGAAACTTCGAACTTTCCCCTGGGCTTTTGTCAGCCCCAGTGGTGTAGCATGGGGGGCTGCCAGCACAACCTTTAGAGGGAGTCATGGAACAGGTCTCCCGGAACAGACGCCAGAACGACAGGTGTCACTGTGCCACGTGTATGTATGAGGCTGGGGGGTGGGGAGGGGCGGCACTGCGGGTGGGTTAAAGGAAGAAAGGGGCAGTATTGTGAAGCGCGTGTTAGGGAAGATGAGAGGTTGTAGAGTAGTAGGAGGGGCAGGTCAGAGGAGGAGCGGAGTCTCCCGCTCCAGGCTCCTCCTACAGGATAACTGGGTGCGGGTCGAGCTGGCTAGGGTGACTCTTGGCCTCACCTCGCAGCAGGAACCAGTGGCACTGAACGGGCTCAGCAATGGCCTCGAGCCAGACACTCCCTCACAGGGGACCCCCAAGGAGCTCAAACTACAGCTCAGAGTCGGGTCTGCGCAGCCCAGGAGCCCACTACCCTCTGGAAAGCTGGTGTGGTCATCTATCAGTGACCATCATTGCAGCATATCTGTGACCATCAGTGTAGCCCCATCAGTGTCCATAAGTGCAGCCTCATCCTCGCAGTGGAGAAGAAAAGTTATTTATAAAATTAAAAACCCAGTGGTGATCAAGTACAACCAAAAGAAAGCGATCTGTATGAAAAAAAAATTATACAAAATTTCATATGGTTACAGAGCTGCATGACCGCTCAATTGTCATTGAAAGTGTGACCGTGCTGAAAGCTGAATATTGGCCTGAGCAGGAATGGGGGTAAAAGTAACCAGTAGGTAAGTGGTTAAAACAAAATCGGGCTCCTAACTTTGACAGGCTCCTAGATTGAAAGCAAATTTGACGAGCCCTGGTTGACAGGATCTTGTTCATGAATTCAAATGTTGCATGATCTTACTGCTCTAGCACCATTTAACTCTTATTAATTTCTGTCATTATTTTAGGCCCAAACGTCATCGACACAAAACCGTATCGAACTGGCCCATCCAATGTTTCCAAGGTATAAGCTGCTTCTTTTTTGTGTGTGTGTTTGTCCAAATCTGAAACTTCTAGTCATTAAGCATTCTTGCTGAGCAATGTGATTAACTAATATAATAGGGCTTACACAGATGCACTAGTTATGTTGGAGAATGAGTGGTAAGAAATTCCCTCCCTTACAAACTAACATGCTTTTTTTAAATTTTTTTTTAAAAGTTAATGCCTGTTGGGCTGGTTTAGTATGAGGGGACAATCTGTAGACTGCAGGGCTTTTTCAGCTCTGTAGCTTCATCAATAATTAAAATTCACTTTCTAGGCTATCCTATTTTCCATCTTTTCAGAGACACCCTAAAAGGGTGTTTAGTTTCTTAATATGTTTTTTAATATACCATGTGAGTCGTCATGTCTGGCCACCGAAAATAACTTGGTATAAAAGTCAACGGAACAGGTAATATGACAATCAGTCATTGAGAAGATTGACTACTTTTTTTTTTTTTTTTTCCTGACCTGTTTTTATTTTACCTAATTTCTGTTCTTTAACTTCAAAGTTAGCATTTCTCAATAAAACTAAGGTAGTAAACGTCCCGGACAGGGCTGCAGGAGGAACATTTTAACTGGTGTCCACAGGGTCAGTTCATCTAGGGATCCAGTCCAACTCTCATTAAGCGTCTCTGTATATAAAACACCCAGTAGTGCTGATATCATCTTAGTGACTATTCTTCTTCCACAAGTGCCAAAAATCCTCTTCCTCCACTTAGTACCCCTCTTATAAATTAGAAAAAGCTTCCACAAAATCCACCTTGCTTCGTGGTTAGGCTCCTAAATCTGTCTGCCTTCGCATAGGAAATATACCTCCAAAGGAATCGCATATACTATTATATCTTCAAAATATTTTCACTCTGCTCGTGCTCCCCTCGTAACAAACTCCCAGTGCTAGTGAACACAATGACCGCCACTTCTTATCTTATGCACTTTACCAGACGATAAGATCCACTCGCTTAGAAAAGGGGGCTCTTCTCACTGCACAGATGATCCAGTTCTCAAATGCCATCATAACATGTAGCAAAGTACAACCAACATAGTGTAGTAGGCAATGGTAGGGATATATCTTCCTTTAATCAGATTGTGTTTACAAGTAAGACAAGGTGTCTCAGCATGTGTAGAACTGGCAAACAGTGTAAAACGCCTTTTCCAAAATGGCCGCTCCGTAACTTCCAGTTTACGTCTGATGTCACGTCTGGCGCGTTTCGTCACTTCCGACTTCATCTGAGGCTCTAGGGATCCAACTAAACCTTTGGTACCTTACTTGAATTAAGCCAGCTTCTGCTTATTAAACATATGCATTCTGTATAACTAAATTTAGTACCTTGGGAAGTTGTGGCCACTATATGCCTATACCTATTACATGTCTAAACAAAAATAATGTGATGACAAGTCATAATGTGTGTGTTTGGTCTGACAAGTCATCTAGAAATTAAACAACTTCCCTATAGCAATGTAAAAATTTTAAATTGTAGCCAAATTTGTACACAACAAATAACCTGGAACATATCCATCGATGCTATTCACTGGCTTATTTTTTTGGTTAAAGACTGAGGAGAAAAAAAATCAATTTAAAATAGTTCTATAATCCTTTTAATAACTAACGTATTTTCCATACAAGCTCTCTGACTTGATAGAGTACAAAGCAACAGGTAACTTAAATGTTGCCAGCAAAGAAAGGAGTCCTTTATTTCCTCTTCCTATGCCACCCAATGCATTGAAATGAGAAAACATTGCCCCCTGTTGTCTGTCCTGTAAAAACATGAGGGCTTACAGGAATAGCCACTGGATGCAGCAGGGAACACAGGAGATCGAGGGAAGCTTGGTTTATGCACAAGCTTGAAATGGACAACTTGGCCACAATGCAGGTAGCATTAGAGGCAAATATTTAACTTTTTTGCAGGCAATTTTTGCGTTAGTCCTTTTTGTTTTATTAAGCAACAGCCTCCTAAAAATTCAAAAACAATGATTTGTTGAGAATTGCTGTAAGAGTAGCTAGTGTTCCTTTAGATCCAGTTATAGTTGCCAGTTAAGATACTTTTTTTTTTTTTTTTTAAATATTTATTTTGATTGTTTTTTCTGGATATTTATTTATTTCAAGAATATACGTAGCACCAACAATTTATATAGTGCTTTACATATTGTACATTCACATCAGTTACCCTCAAGGCGCAATCTAAGGTCCCTAACTCACATACAGTCATTCTAAGGCCCATTTAGACTGGATACAGTTAGACTTCCCACTTATATTTAGTATAGGAAGAGACTGATGTACCAGGAATAAAACCCATCTACTCAAAGGGAGAACATGCATTGCAGCTATGGCTAACGTGCCGAATTGAGCTAGACAAATCTGATGGTAAGCTTTTTCTTTTTTTTTTTTTTTTCTTTTTTGTCTTGTTTTTTTTTTTTTTTTTTGTTTGTTTGTTTGTTTTTTTAAAGGTAAAAAGTCAGTGTTTTGCTAGAAACACATTTAAAATATAACTAAAAGGAAAACCTTTTATTTTATTTTATTTTGGATAGAATAAGGGAGTGTTCTATCCCTGTCAAGTTTATTGTTGCCATCTGTGTCCCATTGCAGAGGTTCTTTTCCCTTCAAATTCCATAGGCAAAACAGGAAGTGAAAGGAAATCCCTCCAGATGAGGTTGTAATCAGAACTAATGTGCCCATTAGAAGGCTTCCTCTCTATTTCTGTTCTGGTGACAGCCCAGAAATTTAGATTTTTGTAAACTTTTGCTCCTAGTGATAATGGTAAACAGACAGGGTCTCCCTGACGGGCACAGACAGCAAAAAAGAAATCTAACAGGCATTCTAATCCCTCTCCACTCTGTCCAATAAAAGTCTTGATTTCCAAAAAAAAAGTGTGTTGCATTTCTAATCCAGATATTTCTGTCAGACAGCACAGTCTCTGTATTATTTGGAGCTCCAGTTAATGTAGTTATGTAGTCATGAAAAACATTATATTAATTTTTTTAAACTAGTGAATGCACCTGAACATGACTTGACATCATCTTCCTGTAGTCTTGTGTGAGATGTACAGGGGTGTGGACATTTTTTTAAAAAAGTACTTGTCCAAGGTACTTAATTGAGATGCCAATCTACTTGTCCCTCAGTACAATCTAGTTGTCCTGATAAAATTCTCAGAATGGAAAATACAAAGGGTATTTTTCCAAAACATATTTTTATTTTTTGTAGTCATCTGATTATAGTTATCTGCAGAAATATATATATATATGTATATATATATATATATATGTATATTTACACAGTGAGGAGCAGAAGTATTTGAACACCCTGCGATTTTGCAAGTTCTCCCACTTAGAAATCATGGAGGGGTCTGAAATTCACATTGTAGGTGCATTCCCACTATGAGAGACCGAATTTAAATAAAAAATTCAGGAAATCACATTGTATGATTTTTAAAGAATTTATTTTTCTTGGACTGCTGAACATAAGTATTTGAACACCTAAGAAACAGCAAGAATTCTGGCTCTCAAAGACCTGTTACTGTGCCTTTAAAAAGTCCACCTCTACTCCACTCATTAATCTAACTTAGTAGCACCTGTCTGAGCTCTTTAAAGACACCTGTCCACCCCACAGTCAGTCAGACACTAACTACTACCATGGGCAAGACAAAAGAGCTGTCAAAAGACACCAGAGACAAAATTGTGGACCTCCACAAGGCTGGAAAGGGCTATGGGGCAATTGCCAAGCAGCTTGGTGAAAATAGATCAACTGTTGGAGCAATTGTTAGAAAATGGAAGAGGCTAAAGACTACTTTCAGTCTCCCTCGGACTGGGGCTCCATGCAAGATCTCACCTCGTGGGGTATCACTGATAAGAAAGGTGAGGAATCAGCCCAGAACTACAAGGGAGGAGCTGGTCAATGACATGAAGAGAGCTGGGACCACAGTTTCAAAGGTCACTGTTGGTAGAACACTACGCCGTCATGGTTTAAAATCCTGCATTGCACGGAAGGTTCCCTTGCTCAAGTCATCACATGTCCAGGCCCGTCTGAAGTTTGCCAATGACCATCTGGATGATCCAGAGGAGGCATGGGAGAAAGTCATGTGGTCAGATGAGACCAAAGTAGAACTTTTTGGTCTAAACTTCACTCGTCGCGTTTGGAGGAAAAAGGATGAGTTGCATCCCAAGAACACCATCCCTACTGTGAGGCATGGGGCTGGTAACATCATGCTTTGGGGGTGCTTTTCTGCGAAGGGGACAGGATGACTGCGCTGTATTAAGGAGAGGATGAATGGGGCCATTTATTGTGAGATTTTGAGCAACAACCTCCTTCCCTCAGTCAGAGCATTGAAGATGGGTCGTGGCTGGGTCTTCCAACATGACAACGACCCAAAGCACACAGCCAGGATAACCAAGGAGTGGCTCCGTAAGAAACATATCAAGGTTCTGGAGTGGCCTAGCCAGTCTCCATACCTAAATCTAATAGAACATCTTTGGAGGGAGCTGAAACTCTGTGTTGCTCAGCAACAGCCCCAAAACCTGACAGATCTAGAGGAAATCTGTGTGGAGGAGTGGGCCAAAATCCCTGTTGCAGTGTGTGCAAACCTGGTCAAGAACTACAGGAAACGTTTGATCTCTGTAATTGCAAACAAAGGCTTCTGTACGAAATATTAACACTGATTTTCTCAGGTGTTCAAATATTTATGTTCAGCAGTGCAAGACAAATAAATTCTTTAAAAATCATACAACGCGATTTCCTGAATTTTTTTTTTTTTTAAATTCTGTCTCAGAGTGGGAATGCACCTACAATGTGAATTTCAGACTCCTCCATGATTTCTAAGTGGGAGAACTTGCAAAATCGCAGGGTGTTCAAATACTTTCGTTCCTCACTGCGTGTGTGTGCGCGCGCGCGCGCGTGTGTGTGTGTGTAATATATTTGAACAAAGGCACAATTTTAGTTTTTTTTCAGGTATTTACCAAAACATATTAAAGCTATAGTTATATAATGGATATGGGCTGAAAGTGCACACCATGTACATCCAAATTGGATGAAGGGTTTAGGAATTACAGCTCTTAAGAGTTGCCACCCCCCCCCTTTTTCAAGGGACCAAAAGTAATTGGACAAATTAATATAATCATAAATAAAATGTTCATTTGTAATATTTTGTTGAGAATCCTTTACTGGTGGCAATGACTGCCTGAAGTCTGGTACCCATGGACATTACCAAAAACTGGGTTTCCTCCTTTCTGATGCCAGGTTCTAACTGCAGCTGTCTTCAGTTGTTCTTTGTGGGTCTTTCTGCCTTTTAGTTTTGGCTTCAGCAAGTGAAATGCATGCTCAGTTGGGTTAAGATTGACTTGGTCATTGTAGAATATTCCACTTCTTTTCCTTCAAAAGCTCATTGATTGCTTTTGCAGTGGGTTTTAGATCATTGTCCATCTGTACTGTGAAGCAGTGTCCAATCAACTTTGCTGCATTTATCTGAATCTGGGCTGACAGTATATCTCTAAACACTGCAGATAATATCCAGCTGCTTCTATCTTCTGTCACATCATCAATAAACACCAATGACCCAGTGCCACTGGAAGCCATGCATGCCCATGCCATCACACTGCCTCCACCATGTTTTACCGAGGACGTTGTGTGCTTTGGATCATGAGCTGTTCCAAGCCTTCTCCACACGCTTTTCTTCCCGTCGTTCTGGTACAGATTAATCTTAGTTTCATCCGTCCAAAGAATGTTTTTTCCAGAACTGGTCTGGCTTTTGTAGATGTTTTTTGGCAAAGTCTAATCAGGCTTTACTTTCTTCAGGCTTATGAATGGTTTGAAACTGCATGTCCTGAGCATTGGGCAGTAGGAATTAAACATCCCTGATATAGGCCACCACTACTGACCAATCGGGCTCTGTTGCAGTGAACATGTACTAATGGGAGAAGATCATCATTCTGTAAATGCTTTTCTCCATTTGCACTTTTTTTCACAGTACCTCTAACGTATCTAAGTATAAGCAATATCATGCAGCAAGATTATCCAGTATTCTAAGTTACTAGAAACTTATTTGGTATAACAAAATGAGTCAGATTATTAGCTTTAATGGGACTGATTAGCATAATCACAAGATGGGAAATATTTCAAGCTTCTGTGAGAAGAACTGCACTGGAAAGCCAGAGTAAAATGACCTACCTTCCAGTCATACCTCTGAAAGGCGCTATATGAGGTGTGCTTTGAAATTCCCACTGAATACCATCAGAAACTGACAACTAGAATTCAAGAGGTGTGCAAAGCTGTAATTCCTGCAAATGGAGAATCTTTTGACATATGTTACATTTTGATAAATATGTGAATAAAGAATGTTATGATGCTGTCCATATGTTTATTGTAAATTCTGATCAGTTTAATACAACCTCGTTGAATGATATATTTTTTGTTGCTGAAGCATTTCAATTCCAGAGTGATTCTCCCAAATCTCCAGGGTTGCAGCACTCATTCTTGTATACATACACACTGTGTAATTTTTATTGTATTTATTTATTGGTGCATGTGCCATGTTTGCATGTTGGTGTGTAGATGTCTCTGTTTGCCTTTGCAATGTTGTCTTACCTAAATATCTGTTTTTACATGCAGACACCAGCATCCAAAGCAACTTAACAATACTTGTGAACATTCAGGGTATAGCTGAAGATGCAACTGTGTCTTATGTTGACAAGAAAGAACACAGTCATAACCGGATAATTAGCTGTGCACAGGTATAAGTATTATCAAAAAAGGTGCCTTCTTTGGTTTATTATATCACACACAAAAAAAAAAGTTTCTATTCATGTAAATGAAGCCATCATCATACACAACAAAGCTCAATGCTTAATGTTATGTTGTTATACTGATAATATTGGAGGTACTTCATAGTTACTCAAAACATGGAAAGTAATTTTTTTTCTTTTCTCTGTTACAGAAATGTGACGAAATTATAGTGGTACATCTAGGCTATCTGAACTATACACGCTACAAACTTTTTGTCCGGTTTGAAAATTTAAATCAGTTGAGATACACTATTACAGCGGTTACATTTAGTGTGAGTATGATATGTTGCCAAAATATTGCTAATGGTCTATCATTCGAGCTTCTTATTTTACTGTCATCCTATTCTGCATAGAAATTCTTGTGTGTTAAAGGCTTAAATTCCTTTAAAGATGTAGTTAACAAAAGTCATACACATGGAATTTAAAAAAAAAAAATATTCAGAATTAAAAGGAAATGACAAATGTTGAAACCAGAAAATTGCAAATAATGTTTCCTGCTGGCCTGTGTGTTTTGGTAATTTTTTGACCGCTAAACCACAAAAAATATCCAGCTGTGATCAACAAAAACAGTAAATAACAAATAAAAATATGTGCCACTGCATCTACATATACAGTATGTAGAATAAATAACACCAAGTCTCAAAATAAATGAACACTGCTGTTCCGCTAACACATTGTGCAACTGTAGTGAGTAGAGGTATCTTCCTGGGCAGTTAAGAGGAGTTATCCCTTTTCTGTGGTTTGGGCTTGCCCAGGGTCCTCTTCCAAATGCATGTGCTTGGAAATATTCCCAGGAAATCCCTCTGGGTGACAGCCATCTAAGATGCCTAGATGGTTTGAAAAAAGGCAACTTTTCAAAGGCATAATTTGCTGGCGTTTAGGAATTGCATAGTGGGTACCTACAGTGGGGCAAAAAAAGTATTTAGTCAGCCACCAATTGTGCACGTTCTCCCACTTAAAAAGATAAGAGAGGCCTGTAATTGGCATCATAGGTAGACCTCAACTATGAGAAATAAAAATCCAGACAATCACATTTTCTGATTTGGAAAGAATTTATTTGCAAATTAAGGTGGAAAATAAGTATTTGGTCACCTACAAACAAGCAAGATTTCTGGCTCTAACAGACTTGTACCTTCTTCTTTAAGAGGCTCCTCTGTCCTGCACTCATTACCTGTATCAATGGCACCTGTTTGAACTTGTTATCAGTATAAAAGACACCCGTCCACAACCTCAAACAGTCACACTCCAAACTCCACTATGGTGAAGACGAAAGAGCTGTCGAAGGACACCAGAAACAAAATTGTAGACCTGCACCAGGCTTGGAAGACTGAATTTGTAATAGGCAAGCAGCCTTGTGTGAACAAATCAACTGTGGGAGCAATAATTAGAAAATGGAAGACAAACAAGACCACTGATATCTCCCTCGATCTGGGGCTCCACACAAGATCTCACCCCGTGGGGTCAAAATGATCACAGGACCACACGGGGGGACCTAGTGAATGACCTGCAGAGAGCTGGGACCAACGTAACAAAGGCTACCATCAGTAACACACTACGCCGCCAGGGACTCAGATCCTGCAGTGCCAGACGTGTCCCCCTCCTTAAGCCAGTACATGTCCGGGCCCGTCTGAAGTTTGCTAGAGAGGATTTGGATGATCCAGAAGAGGATTGGGAGAATGTCATATGGTCAGATGAAACCAAAATAGAACTGTTTGGTAGAAACACAACTCGTCGTGTTTGGAGGAGAGAGAATGCTGAGTTGCATCCAAAGAACACCATACCTACTGTGAAGCATGGGGGTGGCAACATCATGCTTTGGGGCTGTTTCTCCGCAAAGGGACCAGGACGACTGATCCATGTACAGGACAGAATGAATGGGGCCATGTATCATGAGATTTTGAGTGCAAACCTCCTTCCATCAGCAAGGGCATTGATGATAAAACGTGGCTGGGTCTTCCAACATGACAATGATCCCAAACATACCGCCCGGGCAACGAAGGAGTGGCTTTGTAAGAAGCATTTCAAGGTCCTGGAGTTGCCTAGCCAGTCTCCAGATCTCAACCCCATAGAAAGCCTTTGGAGGGAGTTGAAAGTCCGTGTTGCCCAGCGACAGCCCCAAAACATCACTGCTCTAGAGGAGATCTGCATGGAGGAATGGGCCAACATACCAGCAACAGTGTGTGCCAACCTTGTGAAGACTTACAGGAAACGTTTGACCTCTGTCATTGCCACCAAAGGATATATAACAAAGTATTGAGATGAACTTTTGATATTGACCAAATACTTATTTTCCACCATAATTTGCAAATAAATTCTTTCCAAATCAGCCAATGTGATTGTCTAGATTTTTTTTTCTCATTTTGTCTCTCATAGTTGAGGTCTACCTATGATGCCAATTACAGGCCTCTCTCATCTTTTTAAGTGGGAGAACTTGCACAATTGGTGGCTGACTAAATACTTTTTTGCCCCACTGTATGTCTAAAAGTACCCATTTATCCTGGTCATTGTATTCTTAGTAGTACTACTACTAAGTATTGTGGGTACTTGCTTTGTTCAGTATTGTGGACTGTGTTCCTGATAAAATGAAAAAGAAGCAGGACATCTAGTGACTTTCCAATAGTGTTTTTTTGTTTTTTTAGTTCTCACACTTAAATGTAGTGAAATGTTTAACCTCCTTAGCGGTTTTCTCGAGTGTAGCTCGGGGTAGAATTTCTATACCACAAGCGGTAACCCCGAGCTACACTCGGGCTTACCATGCGGCGCTGCTCTGGGGGTCCCTGCAGCACTTACCTTGTCCTTCGTTCCCACGATGTGTCCCCTGCAGCGTCCCCGGCCATCTCCTCCGGCCGATGCCGGCATCCGGCTTCTGTGTTCCGGTCCCCGTGACGTCGGGACGTACGGGCGCCGGCGGCGGCGGGAAATTTAAAAAATGTCATTTTTTTTTTTTTCAATAGTAAAACATTGCTGTTTCATCCCATTTCACATACATTTTGTCCCTAGTGCTTTGTCCTGTGCCCTGCCTGCATTTTGTCTGTTCTTTCTGCCTGGAAACTTAGAAAAGTCCATGGCGTCCAAAAAGCGTCCCTTTATGTCAAAAGCGGTTTTTTAGACCGGCTAGAGAACAGCGATAGTAAATCAGAACCACTTGCAGAATTGAGTGATAATGATTTGTGGGGAAATTTTCCTAAAAATTACAGCCTACAATAAAAAACTATTTCCATGCGAAAAAATGGTACCGCTTTCAGCACAAAAAATCGGAAGGAATCATACCGCCAGGGAGGTTAAGTAGCCTCAGGGTTCTGGCATAGGCAGAATTCAGACTCTGCCGAGGTTTAACTAATTTTATCTTGTTCTTCAATATTGCATGCTGGACACAGGACGTTAAATGTTTGCTACCAAATAATAATGAACTACTTGAAACTAGTTTTTTGGGGGGGTTTTTACGTCCTAAATAGCATCAGTGTTTTGTTTGCATTAATAATAATTAGTTGAATTGTTTTATACAAATTTTTCCAGTGGAAAACCTACAACCCTACCTTTTCGCAAGTGGAGATCTGGTTTCGTTTTGTGTTTGTGGTGCTCACATTCATGGTGACGGTGAGTAGATAAAGCTGATGCTAGCATCTAAAAGTAAGAGCGAACATGACAGGACAGATGGATGGATCTGTGATATTTTTATTGGGATTGAGATGCCATTGGGACCATCATGAAATCCTCGATCATGCATGACAAGTGCTGGTAACTAGTTGGCAGATTTATTTTTGTCTAACCTAAATTTGAAGCTTAAAAAATTATGTTTCCATCTAAGGCAGCAATTGGATGCCTGTAAAGAGCTGAGATATTCCCAAAGACACTCATCCACAAACTAAGAAAGTCATTGGTAGCTGCCTGCATACTTTCAATTATCTAGGGTGATAATAAATAAAACTCGGCAAAGTAAACTGCTTTTTTTTCCTACATAAAGTTTATTGGATTTTGGCTCAAATTTCACTTACCAAGAAAAGACATCACAGCATATGCAAGTTTGCAATCCATATGGCCACACTAGTACTATATGCATGTATCATCATAGTACTAAGAAAAAGAGTTGATAAAAAAAAAAAAAGAAGAGGACTTAGATGTCTGTGGGAGAAAACAACTGCATTTTTATTAAAGTGTACGGTTGTCTTGGTATACTCAGTACTTGACAGAGATGAATAGAGGTCCAGAAATGGCTGTCAAAGTTTGCGGGGTGAGAGCAAGAGCATCTAAAGGGCTGTGTTATGTCTTTGAGCCCTTCTCTACCAAGGTATCTTTATCAACAGCATGGTAGACAAGTGGTTTAATTAAGCTCACAGCTGCTGCTGCTGCAGGCCATGTGACCTTTAAAGCCCTCTGATGTGGACCTCGACCTCAAACCTAATGCAGGAGTTTTGGTTCGCCTTCAGAAAGTGCGCTACACCCACAAGACATAATAGAAGTCTATGGCAAAGCGCAGCTAACCCACAGAAAAACTGCAGGTGCACTGCGCTGCACGGGGGCGGTGCAGTTAAACCGCAGCACATCAGTGTGAATCCAGCTTTTTAGGGTACTTAGGACAGTAAGTGCTCATTTACATTTGTTTTTTGGGGGGTGGTAAAACACCATAGTTGAGATGTGTTTTACCACCCAATCCCAACCACTGATGGCGACCCCGCCTCATGCCCCAGGGGGCAAGAGGGGCGGCAGGGGTGGCATGTACAGAAACCAACTCTCTCCTCCTACAACTGCTGAATCCGGCTTTTCCTCTCCCTCCGCCAGCATTCAGCAGCTGCAGGAGGAATAAGTTAAGCTAAATTAAAAAAAATTTGAAATTCTAAACCATTTAATTTCATTGTGGCCCACGACCGGTTATAAAATCACTTAAGTGGCTCTCACTCTTCAAAAAGTTGAGCATCCTTGCTGTAAAGCTTTTAAAGCATTGTCTGTGGAAAATTTTGATGACCATAATTTTTTTTGCACAATATTAAGACTTGATTTGTTTTTCATCTATTTACTCAATAAATAAATGCTTTCAAAAAATATATACTTTTAGGGAGTTTACCGTAATTTCTAGCCAGAAAATGCAGATTTTAACATGTATGCATAAAAAGTAAACATTGTAGGCAAGTGGTTTATCCAGTATAAATCATCCTTGGCATAATGTGTAATTTAGAACAGTGCTTGATGCCTTTTCTTACTTGCTGACCCAAATACATAAAAGCATTCAGAGGTCACATAGCAGCTTACCTCCATCTATTTGCCTACCCATGTTTAAGCAAAATTGCAAGACTTGCTCATCAGCAGTTTTGGGAGAGAGAGTGGCTCGGCCCACAACAAATGCAAGGCTCACATTAAAAAGTAAAAAGTGCCAGATATCTGTTGGTCTCAGTTCTTTGTGTTTTTCTCTGGCCTGGCAGGAACAGCTTTACAAAAATTACTTTGTATTATAGCTATCATGCTAGTATTCAGTGGCCCCCACCCAGTCTAGACAATTTCAGAACAGTGAATGCCTAAAGACTCTTCTAACCTCAGGAAAAGAAAAACTCCTTTTCTCCTTCTGAGGTTAGTATTTTTATTTTTGTAGGCAACTATCCCCTTTTGGTTTGGTGAACTTAATTGGTTCGCTCTCATATAGAGTCTAAAGTGGCAACATGACTAGCTCAGAGTTTGCAGGACATTTGACCAGCTCCAGGACACTTCTCAGTCTATGCTTTCTTTTGTCAGACATGTTTCTGCTACTTGACACACTTATAATTTTTTCCACCTGTAATGCATCTCCCTCCAGCCCTTGCTTATGACTGTCTGGTCTCGTATAGTGTGATCACACCTTAGCATCTGCTTCCCAGAAGGAAGATGTATGTGTAGTAGCGAAAAGTTTTTCTTATGCACTTGCACCCAGTGCACTGTAATGTCACTTCCACCCAGCTCTTGACATCAGTTGGTATGCAGAAGCTGGAGATGAAATGTGGGCATGGACAGATCCACAGGGTGCACATGTTTCAAGCAGGACAGCATGGTCCAGCATTTTTGCAGACTACCCTGGACTAGGGCGATATGCAAATAGATTTTGTCTCCAGATTTTGAACCCCCCCTTAGTGACTCGAAGGTAAGTGGAATTGTGTGTTTGATGCATTTTCCCCTTCCCTTGTTGTTTTCAGGGATTTGGCAAGTTTTTCTCCCTTATCTTTCTCTGGACAATATGGTGTCCGGGTCTGATCGTTTTCTTGCGTAAGTGGATTCCTGTACTATTTTTTAGCTCTGGTGACCACCCCCCCCCCCCCCAAACAAAAACATACTAAAGCAGATTGTGAAGATATTTTATCAAGCAATGCTGACAATTATACGTATACGAATGCATTATGGCAACAAAAGTTTCTCTTTAAAGGGTTAAGTAATTCATTGAGAGAAGAGATGACCATTACTCTCCAGTCAGAGTTTTGCAAGACTTTTTGGAACTCAAGCCAGTTTGGATGTCCCTTCAGCAATGGACATCACGGCTTTAAGGCTGCCCAACTTTACTACCAGTGCTGTTGTAAAGCTTTCCTCATATGAAACCAGCAACTTCCAGCCCAGGAACTTTTCAGGGAGATCATTTCTATCATTCCAGTCTAATCCAGACTACCATTTCACATTGATTAATCTCAAAGGTCATGGTTTGGCCGTAGCTATTCTATTTCAAAGACCACTTGACCCTCATTCTTTGGTGAAGTGCTCATACACAGTGTCACTCACATAGCTCCCCTTGTGCATTCAGTATAGATCTTTGGGGATCACTGCTTGGTTATGTCAGCTTTCTGAGAACTACCCTTTTGAATCTATCTGGCATTTCACCTTGTCTACACTCACTTATAAGATTGCCTTTCGCATTGCTCTAACCTCTGAGGCGAGTGTCTGAGTAAATAGTCTTATATAGTTACATAATCTGGTTGAAAAAAGAGTTCAGTCAATAAAAAGCAATAACAATTAAAAACAAAAATTATACAATCCCATATACCCAATCCTATACCCACAGTTAATCCAGAGGAAGGCAACCCCCCCAGCGAAGCATGATCCAGTTTGCTCCAGCAGGGGAAAATATTCCTTCCTGATATCCCAAGCGGCAAACTGATATCCAGTTATATTATAACTGAAAGAATTAAGGCCTTTTTTTAAATCAATCTACTAAGCTGGCCAGAACCAGCTCTTGAGGGAGTCTTATTCCACATTCTCACAGCTCTTACTGTGAAAAAACCTTTTCGTATTTGGAGATTAAATCTCTCTTCCACCACATGTCCTCTGTGATGACCTTAAAGTAAATAACTCTACACCAAGTTCACTATATGGACCACTTGTATATTTCTAATTGTTGATCATATTCCCCCTTTATCTCCTCTTTTCATGAGACAAATGCAGTTTCTCTAATCTTTCCTCATATCTGAGCTCTTCCATGCCTCTTATCAGTTTGGTTGCCCTTCTCTCTACTTTATTCAGTTTCCTGATATCCTTTTTGAGAATTGGTGCCCAAAAATGAACTGCATATTCCATATGAGGTGTTACTAATGATTTGTACAGGGGTAATATGATATCTCTCTCTCTGGATTCTATACCTCTCTTAATACAAGAAAAGGATTTTGCTCGCTTTGGGAACTGCAACCTGGCATTGCATGCCATTGTTAAGCTTACAATCTACCAGAACACCCAGATCCCTCTCCACCATTGATTCCCCCAGTTGTACTCCCCCTAGTATGTATGATGCACGCATATTCTTAGCCCCCAAGTGCATAACTTTACATTTATCAACATTAAACCTCATTTGCCACATAGTTTCCCAATAAAACAGTGTATTGAGGTCAGCTTGTAAGTTGGAGACATCCTGTAAGGGTGTTATTCCACTGCATAGCTTGGTGTCATCTGCAAAACCACCTGACATTGTACTTTTAATGCCAGACCCTATATAATTTATAAATTATATTAAAAAGTAAGGGTCCCAACACTGAACCCTGGGGTACACCACTAACAACCCTAGACCATTCAGAGTATGAATCACTAACCACTACTCTCTGAATATGATTTTTTTTTTTTTTTTTTTTTTTTTTCCATCCATTTACATACTGATTTTTTCCAAGCCTGTAGACTTTACCTTACACATTAACCATGTGTGGACAACTGTGTCAAACGCTTTTGCAAAATCCAAGTATACCACATCCACAACCAGCCCTCTGTCCAAGGTTTTGCTCATCTCCTCATAAAAAGAAATCACATTTTGTTTGACAACTTCTGTCTTTCATGAATACATGCTGTCTGTTGCTTTAAAAAAAAAAAAATTCAAACAAGCAGTCACCTATGTGGTCTTTAATTAATCTCTCCAGTATCTTCCGAAATATAGAAGTTAAACTAACAGGTCTATAGTTACTTGGTAAAGACTTTGTTCCCTTTTTAAATCTAGGCACCACATTGGCCTTACACCAATCCATTGGTACTATGCCAGTCATTAAGGAGTCCTTGAAAATTAGAAACAATGGCTTTGAAACAACAGAGCACAATTCTTTTAGTACCCTTGGATGTATGCCATCTGGTCTAGGGGCTTTATTCACCTTTATTCTGTCTAAAGATTTGTA